TCACAGCTCACAGCAACCTCCAACTCCTGGGCTCAAGTGAGTCTCCTGCCTCAGCCTCCCAAGTAGCTGGGACCACAGGAGCCCGCCACAACACCCAGCTATTTTTTGGTTACAGCCGTCATTGTTGTTTGGCGGGTCTGGGCTGGATTCCAACCTGCCACCTTAGGTGGATGTGGCTGGCACCTTAGCCGGTTGAGCTACAGGCGCCGAGCCGCAAATTTGGTATCTTATTTGGCAAGGCTACAGGCCACAGACTGAGTTAACAGTGTGATAAGGGTCACATAAAGTGTGAACAACAAGTCTTCTGCATTTCCAGGTCATGTGCTTCCCACAGTGGGAAACATCACCAACCTCTGCCCAAATGGACAGGCCCTGTCTTTGCACCACACTTTGAGTTCTCTGTGGGTTGATGACCAGATCACAAAAACTGATTCCCAAGTAGAAAATAGAAATCTTGCTCAGGCTGGTCTTGAAGTCCTAAACTCAAGCAATTCACCCACCTTGGCCTCCTAGAGTGCTGGGATTACAGGCGTGAGCCACAGTATCCAGCCATCTTTAACTTTTCATTTCAGAAATTCAAGTATGACTGGCCTAAAGTTCATGGGAGTAGGCGTAGGTATCATACTAACCAATTCACAAAATACCAATAGATAAATCACAAAGACCGTTTATTTGTATTCTATGAAAAAGCACTGGCCAGGTGTGGTGGCTCACGCCTATAATCCTAGCACTTTGGGAGGCCTAGGTGGGTGGATTGTTTAGGAATTTGAGAGCAGCCTGAGCAAGAGTGTGACCCTGTCTCTAAAAATAGCCTATGTTGTGGCAGGCACCTGTAGTCCCAGCTACTTGGGGAAGGCTAAGGCAAGAGGATCACTTAAGCCCAAGAGTTTGAGGTTGCTGTGAGCTATGACAGCAGGGCACTCTGCCAAGGTCAACAAAGTGAGACTCTGTCTCAATGAAAAGAAGGAAGGGAGGGAAGGAAAGAAAGAAAGAAAAGCACTGCCCCTTATGCTGGAATCTTGCATTGTCTGGGAACCTACACTCCCTCCTCAAAAATAAGTTTGATGACAGGCCAAACTGTTGGCAAAAGGTTGCTGGTAGTCACACAAAATTGCCTATAGAATATTAGGGCTGGTGTCATCTCCAGTGTAGGGAAAGACTTGCTGAGCAGGCAGCTGCAAGTGGTGGCGGCATAGGGCTAGAGGCAGAAATGCTAATTCTTACTCTGGTTTCCAGTTTCCTAGGTACATGCTGACTGCCATTCCCCTTCATTTCACATAGTGTTTCTCTAAACAGGCACAACGTAGCTAGCATGGGACGTTTTCTCTTTTATTTATTTATTTATTTATTTAGAGACAGAGTCTCACTTTGTCGCCCTCGGTAGAGTGCTGTGGCGTCACAGCTCACAGCGACCTCCAGTTCCTGGGCTTAAGCAATTCTCTTGCCTCAGCCTCCCAAGTAGCTGGGACTACAGGCGCCTGCTACAACGCCCAGGTATTTTTTGTTGCAGTTTGGCTGGGGCTGGGTTTGAACCCGCCACCCTCGGTATATGGGGCTGGCGCCCTATTTACTGAGCCACAGGCACCGCCTGGGACATTTTTTCTTACACATAAATTCCAGTCCTATTTCCCTGAGTACAGTACTAGTTGCCATAATTAAATTTTGAATACTCCCAAACTACCATCGAATCTTCCTTCCAGCAGCAATGTATGTGCTATTGCCACACTTGGAGTTGGGCTCTTAGGTGTAGCTTACAGACCATGTGACCTACTCCCAGGGCTTCCTGATCTCACCCAGCAAGTGGGAGTTTTCTCATTGGCAGCAATGTCTCTGGTTCACCTTGGGCAAGTTGTTTTACCTCTTTAAACCATTCTCACAGGTAAAGTGGGGCTTATTTAAGAGGAACTACCATGAGCTGCCCTATGAAGGGTTATTGAGGCACAGAGCAAGCGCTCAGTGTTAGCTGCCAGGTTTATGAAAATGCTATCAGTAGGGATTACTGAGGTCAGCACTGTGTCTGAGTTCTTAGACATAAGCATTGCATCTAAGAACACAGGAACAGTTACTATCATTTTCTAAGTCCACATAGGTACTTTGGGGAAAGAGGTGATGGTATCTCTCAGTGTCAGATGAGAAACCGGATTAATGAACTGTGTGATTCTGAACATAATTGACGGCTTTTTCCAGCATTCTGTCTCCCTCCATCCGGCAAGAGGATTGTGTTAGGGGACCTCTGAAGCCTTCCTGCTTGTAACTGTGACTCTGCATGGAAGCAGAGGAATCACTGAGGCCTAGGGGAATCTTCTCTCTCACCAGAGTGGCCCCAGGATCATGCCCCTGCCCACTGTTGTGCATGGGTACCTGGGGAGCAGAAGAGATGGAGGTCAGCCAGCCTGTCTATTGCACACTGCCTGAGAGGGGCCTCCCTGGCTGTACAACCAGCTCGGGCCCTCCTGAAGGGCAGGAGCTTTCGACTTGCGGCACTCTGAATCCTAATGTTGTCACTAAGGCTACCTCCCCATTCTCCTCTCTGCAGATGACCTGGATGGACTCCTGAGTGAGCTCCCTGAGGACTTCTTCTGTGGAACCAACAGTTGGAACTGCCCCAAGGCAGGACATCCACAGTGACCAGGCAGCCTCTGGGTGTGCCTGATCATATCCAAGGGAGAGAAGAAGACCAGCATGCCTGGAGATCAGACAAAGCTCAGGGCTTCTGTGGTCACTCCCACCTTGGGTGGTTTCCCTAAGAACTTCTTTTGTGTATTGTTCCTTTTCTTCCTGCCAACAGGAAAGATGTGTCACCTTCAGTGTCACTCTCCTGCCTTAGTTTAACTTCAGACTTTAGGGTGCAGTGGCTCACGCCTGACCTGGCTTCCTTGTCCCTTTACTCTTTAATTCCCAGTCAGCAGCAGAGCCATACCACAGCAGTGGCAACCTGCCCCTCTGGACAGGGAAGCAACATACTCAGATTACCCTCTGATTTGTCTCTTGAGACCTGTGGCTTCCTAGCTCACCTTTGCCCATGGTTCCCAGGTGCAGGGAAGCAGGTGGGGGCTGTTGTACCTTGTTCTGAAATAAAGCAGTCCCTATTTCACCTGCCTTGGTTCTGTCCATCCCTCGCTGCTCCTTGTCCCGACTGCCCTACTAGTGGTTCTTAGCCCACCAGGGCTCACACAGTTGTGTTTTATTTTATTTTATTTTTTTGAGACACAGTCTCAAGCTGTTGCCCTGAGTAGAGTGCCATGGCGTCATAGCTCACAGCAACCTCCAACTCTTGGAGTCAAGCAGTCCTCTTGCCTCAGTTTTTCTATTTTTAGTAGAGACAGGGGTCTTAATTTTTTTCAGGCTGATCTTGAACTTATGAGCTCAAGCAATCCACCCGCCTTGGCCTCCCAGAGTTCTAGGATTAGAGGCATGAGCCTTTGCACCTGACCAGAATTTCTTTGTTTTTGATGACCTTGACAGTTTGAAGTAGTACTGTCAGGTATATTGTTGAATGTCCCTCCATTAGCATTTGTTTTTCTCATGATTAGGCTGGGGCTATGGGTTTGGGGAGGAAGACCAGATGGAAGGTCTTCTCATCTCATCACGTGTTCATGGTGACCTCGATCACCTGGTTGAAGTAAAGTTTGTTAACGTTTCTCCTCTATAAAGTTATTCTTTTTTTTTTCGCTCCCTTTTTATACTGTACTCTTTGTAAGTGACTGTGTAGCCCACAATTAATGAATAGAGAGTTATGTTCCACCTCTTTTTTTTTTTTTTTTTTTTTTGAGACAGAGCCTCAAGCTATCCCCCTGGGTAGAGTGCCATGGCACATGCTCACAGCAACCTCCAACTCCTGGGCTCAAGCGAGTCTCCTGCCTCAGGCTCCCAAGTAGCTGGGACTACAGGCGCCCGCCACAACGCCCAGCCATTTTTTGGTTACAGCCATCATTGTTTGGCGGGCCCGGACTGGGGATTCGAACCCGCCACCTTAGGTGTATGTGGCTGGCGCCTTAGCCGCTTGAGCCACAGGCGCCGAGCCGGTCCACCTCTTTAATAGCAGAATATCTACATTTTTTTTTTGCAGTTTTTGGCTGGGGCTAGGTTTGAACCTGCCATCTCCAACCTATGGGGCCATCACCCTACTCCTTTTGAGCCACAGGTGCTGCCCCAGAATATCTACATTTTTTATGTGAAATTCTTCTATGGTCTCAGTGCCTGTATCTCAAGCAGCTAGGGCACCAGCCACATACACCAGAGCTGGCAGGTTCGAATCCAGCCCGGGCCCACCAAACAATGACAACAATTACAACCGAAAAATAGCCAGGCGTTGTGGCAAGCACCTGTAGTCCCAGCTACTTGGGAGGTTGAGGCAAGAGAATCGCTTAAGCCCAGGAGTGGGAGGTTGCTGTGAGCTGTGACGCCATGGCACTCTACCCAAGGCAACAACTTGAGACTCTGTCTCAAAAAAAAAAAAAGAAATTCTTCTGCATGAGAGATTTGTCTGTTCTCCCTTATTTATTCAGTCATTATATCAGTATAGACTCAGATCTTTATTTTATACTTTGGTCTATAGTCTAATAAGATTTTATTTTGTTGCCAAGCAACTCTGTAACTGTAGCTTCTCTGTACCACCAGAGGTGGACAAGGGGCATGGCTGGGGTGTAAAGGCCTAATTATACCAAGTTGCCAATTTCATTTTCCTTTCTGAAATGATAGTTGGGAAAATGCTTCCCAACTCATGGTTGAGTAGAGGCAGATTAAAGAGCCTGGTTTGGCTGGGTGCAGTGGCTCACGCCTATAATCCTAGCTCTCTGGGAGGCTGAGGCGGGTGGATTGCTTGAGGTCATGAGTTTGAGACCAGCTTGAGCAAAAAGCAAGACCCTGTCTCTACTAAAATTAGAAAAACTAAATCAAGAGGAATGCTTAAGCCCAAGAGTTAGAGGTTGCTGTGAGCTCTGATGCCACTGTACTCTACCCAGAGTGGCAGCTTGAGACTCTGTCTCAGCAAAAAAGAGTCTGGTTTGACTGCCAGCCTCCCCTGCCTCAGCCTCCACTAAGCAGTTGGGAGATAAGGGCCTCCTGTGTGTCCTGGCTTGGCATTGCTCTGGGAGGAGGCATTAATTTCTCCTTTTCCATGGTGGCACCTATAGCTCAGTGGGTAGGGTGCCAACCACATACACCAAGGCTAGTGGTTCAAACCCAGACTGGGCCTGCTAAACATCAATGATAACCGCAACGCAAAAATAGTCAGGCGTTGTGGTGGGTGCCTGTAGTGAGGCTAAGGCAAGAGAATCGCTTAAGCCCAAGAGTTTGAGGTTGCTGTGAGTTGTGATGCCACAGCACTCTACCCAGGGTGACAGCTTGAGACTCTTGTCTCAAAAAACAAATTTCCCTTTCCCAAAGAGGCTGATCCCATGGATCCCAGTCTGAAGGCTGAAGTGCGTTTTTTTTTTTTTTTTGAGTCTCAAGCTGTCATCCTCAGTAGAAGGCTGTGGCATCACAACTCACAGCAACCTCAGACTCTTGCTTGGGCTTAAGCAATTCTCTTGCCTCAGCCTCCCAAGTAGCTGGGACTATAGGTGCCCACCACAACGCCTGGCTATTGGCTATTTTTTTTTTGGTTGTTGTTGCAGTTGTCGTTTTAGCAGTCCCAGGCTGGGTTTGAACCCGCCAGCCTTGGTGTATGTGGCTAGCACCCTACCCACTGAGCTACAGGCAACACCCCTGAAGTAAGTGTTTTGAGAATGCTGACTGCATTCTAGAAGGTCTTTGTGTGAGGCCAGAGCAAGAAGTGGGTAATACCCCAGCACCCTGGCCCCTTTCATACTCCCATTTGGTCTTCCCATCTGAGCCTGCCATGCACTTTCTCCTCCCCTGCCTCTCCATCCCTGCTAACTCCCCAGCTCTGCCTCTAGCTTCCATTTGGGCTAGAGCCCACCTAAACCACCCATATTCCTGGCCTGAAGTGGTCTTTTCCACTTTGGACACCCTTGAGTCCTGGTCCCCACTGTGCACAGTCTTCACTGATGCCACACTGCTTGTGTCCTGTTTCCTTGTGTACTTCATCACCCCACAGGCTCTAAGGCTAAAGACCTAATTGCCAGCACTGTTTCCTCCAGTAGAACTTCTGGGCACCCATGGGCCTGTGGGCAGGCCTCCTTTCTTTGCCCTCAGGAAGCTATTGCTAAGGACAAGGAGACACGGACAGAGTAGTGTCTGGACAACCAAGCTATCATCAGCACCTTTAGGGGTGTGTGGGGAGAAAGCAAGGAAAAGGCTGGGCCATGCTATTGTGTGCCCTGGGGAAGAAGGGGACTCCTACCCACCTGGGCTCCTTCTGGCCCCACCTAGCCTTACCAGCCACCCATCCCTGGGAACCCAGCTGTGGGTGCTCAACCAGGCTGTGGTTTGGCAATTAAAACACCAAGTGGGTTCCAACAGGGTTATTCACAGGTACATTCATAGAGGCACCTTTCTCTGAGGACCTCTAAGCCCTCACTGTGCATGATCTCATTCCTCCTGTGGGACCCGCCCCCTGGAATGCCACCAAGAGGCTGGGGCCAGGCAGAGTAGATGAATAGCAGGGGAAGGGTAGTGCCAGGAAAAGTCCAGGCTGCTGCCACCCACTTGGGTGGGCGGGTGGATGAGTGTTTGCTCTGGCAGAGAATAGGGACCTTCATTCAGTGCACAACACATAAGAGGCGGCCTGCCATAGCCAAGTGCTCCCAAACACCTTGTGGAGACCAACTGTGGGTAAGGCCTGCGCTAGAGCCCACAGCCAGTATGGCAGAGCCATGTCTGCTGTGGGGATAGGTGCTTTCCAAAGTGTGCCTGAAGTCCTTCAGAAGCACAGATTCAGATGTGGCTAGAACCGTAGGGGTGGGGGACCTGGGATTCTGTAGAGACATCTCTCCAGAGCAGGTGACTTTGAGATGGACTTTGAGGAATGAGTTCCAAGCCCAGGGAACTGATGTGAGAACCTGTGATAAGAATGTCACATGAGGGTGGCACCTGTGGCTCAAAGGAGTAGGGTGCTGGCCCCATATGCCAGAGATGGCAGGTTCAAACTCAGCCTTGGCCAAAAGTAAAGAATGTCACATGAAAGGGCTGTTGGAATCAGCAGTTTTTAAGCAAGGGATTTTTAACCATTTTATTTGTTTTTTGTTTTTGTTCTTTTTTTTTTTTGAGACAGAGTCTGTCTCTGTTGCCCTATGCTATAGTGTCAGCCTAGCTCACAGCAACCTCAAACTCCTGGGTTCAAGTAATTCTCCTGCCTCAGCCTCCTGAGTAGGCTGTAACACCTGGCTACGAATTAATCATTTTAGGTCATCCTGGCAGCAGAGCAGAGGGGTTTTGGCCAAAGGAAGGAACACCGAATAGGCTGGGTTGGTCCAGGTTTAAGGCACTGAGGACCTGAAATTTGAAAAAGTGCCTGAAAATGTGAGACTGGGAGCTAGAACTTGGTTGTGTGAGGGGACCAGGGAAAGGAAGAGGTGGAAGATGACCAAGAGGGGGGCTGCAGGATCAGGAGGAACTCACACTGTGGTGGAGGCAGACCAACCTGTCTGTTGCCACAAGTACTCTCAGAGACTGGCAGGCAGCCTCCCTCCTGCCCTCCCCTTCCTGGCTCAGTAGGCAGGACTGGCGCAGTTTCATGGCCTCATTCCTCCCCCTAGAGGCTCCTAGAAGCACAGCCTCTTTCTCCTAAGTGTGAGCAGGTTTGTGATTTGAAGGTCTCTTTTGTCCTGGTCCCCTCACTTTCTAAGTCAACCCCTTGGCCCTCCTCAAGCTGTGTGAGCCCCCTTAAGAGCTGGGTAAAGAAAAAACAATCAAGACTCATTGAAAGGCTCGGCGCCTGTGGCTCA